CACACATTCAATGTCTGTTCTAGATCCGTTAGCATTGCCAGTACTAAAAGCTCTGTCAGCGCTGGGTCCAGTTGGATCGGTGGTGTCAGTACCGGAGGCAGAATATAGCTTCCAGCTTTGCCTGTCTCAGCACAGCTTTTCTTTTTGTCTCCTCAAAGTAACGACCACCTGTTGGAGTCTTTGTCCGTTCAGCTGGTAGAAATGACTCAGATTAGGCCCTTTGGAAGTTGAGTTCCACTGCAGCTCTCACCATGAGTTCTTACCTCTTTTGTGTTACCTCTCAAAACTTTTGGCTCCCTCGAAATATGCTTACTGCAATATTTCCTGGTCTGTCATGGATGTCTATTAACATTTTCCAATATATACATATTTCAAGCACCTAAATGTGCGGCAAATGGTGGTAGAGGACCCCACTGGGTTAACTTGGGGAATCTCATCATCTGTCACAATTATTCATTTATTCCATTTTGATTATCATGCTTCAAACTTTTCAAAGAGTGCGACACAGACTGACCAGGCCAGTCAACGCACAAGTGCCGCTTCCTCATACACACAAAGCCAGCAGGTCAGTAACCTTCCCATTCATACTGCTCCTCAGGGCCTTGCAGAGCCCTTTGGAGGGACAGGGGCTCAGGTAAAAAGGGGCCCATTGAACAAGCTCTTAAAACACCTGACAGCTCCACATCCAGCGCCATCAGCACAATTTGTCAAACGTTACTCAACAGCCTCCAAACGGACTGATTGTTTCTGAATTCAAAGATTTGTATCGTTGTACACATTTCTCTTGTATATTTTACATGAATATTGGTCACCGTACAGCAACGTTGCAACATCGTATATTAATCAAGAATTTAATTGGATCCTGCTATATCACTGCCATCATGTGGGACAAAGCAAAGCAAATATAGTATATTTTCCCCAACAGGAATAATGATTCTGTTCCTGTTGCTGAAAGTCCTGGAGGGTTAGTTAGACTGTAGCTGTTCACTAGACCAGAGGAGAGAAGGTCAAAGGTCATGAAGTTATGAAATAAGCAAAATTGCTGCCATTTTACTAATTAAGTCCTAATAATATTTATTTAACCTCCAGAACAACTTGGCTGCAGACTGTTTTATAACTCAAAAAAGCTCAAAGGGGTTAACTCAATATAATTTTTTAATGTTAACGCCTCTGATCACAGCAAATACATCACAGCAAATAACCAATAATCAGTGATTGATTTTAACTCAGCCAATAAACCTGGTCTCCCTCTCACAGATTCACCTTATTGATATTTAAACATGTTAGTGATGCTGAGGTTCTTGGTAGGAAGGGCTTTGGTGTTGGGGGGGCTTCTGTCTAAGGCCCCATATTACCTTGGGCCGGCCCTGCTTGAACAGTTGGTGCAATGCGCATCTCTGGAATCCCCCTGGAATCTACCTGGAATTCCCCTGGAATCTACCTGGAATTCCCCTGGAATCTACCTGGAATTCCCTAGTGGCCCCCATGTCAGTCCACAAATGCTTTGAGGACATTGTTTCATTCATATGACTCTTACAGAGCCTGAGTGAAAACATGTTTATTATTATAACTACCCTATCTATAGAAACTCGATTTAACTGCATGTTTTGTTTGTGTGATGTTGAGATGAAACTCCGCATGGAAACGGCCTTTTAAACCATTTAGGCAACCAGCACAATAGAGACACAATCAAAACTGTCAGATGACTGATTACCCAACAATAATAACTCAGAAATAGACCAAATAGTTTAGATGTATTTTTATTTATTTCCTACTGATGGAAAGTTTCTGTTTATATCATAGGTTTGTGGTGTATTCTGTACTAAAGAAAAAGATATAAATTTTCAGATATTTCACAAAGAGATATTAATATTCATGGGAAAACTTTCCATCAATCAATCAAATCAAATTTTATTTGTATAGCACATTTCAGCAGCAAGGCATTTCAAAGTGCTTTACATCATAAACACAAAAACACAAAGTCATGCATCATGGAATAAACAATACATTGTTCCATATTACATTTCAAATAAAACTCTAATCAGGTGTCAGGGTTTCTGCTGTTTTACAGTTTTCTGGAAGTTTGTTTAAATTTTTTGGTGCATAGATGCTGAAAGCTGCTTCTCCTCTCTTGGTTCTGGTTCTGGGGATGCAGAGCAGAACCAGAACCAGAACCTGAGAGTCTGGAAGGTTGATACAACAACAGCAGATCTTTGATGTATTGTAGTGCTAAACCGTTCAGTGATTTATAAACTAACAACAGTATTTTAAAATCTATTCTTTGAGCTACAGGGAGCCAGTGGAGGGACTTTAAAACTGCTGTTATGTCTCTATCTTCCTGGTTTTAGTGAGAACAGGAGCAGCAGCTTCTGGATCAGCTGGAGGTTTGATTTGTTGGACAGGCCTGTGAAGACGCTGTTACAATAATCAATGCAAGAAAGATAAACGCATGGATGAGTTTCTCTAGATCTGGCTGAGACATTAGTCCTCTAATCCTGGAGACGTTCTTCAGGTGATAGAAGGCCGACTTTGTAACTGTCTTTATGTGGCTCGCAAGGTTCAGGTCAGAGGTCATCACTACTCCCAGGTTTCAGGCTGATTGCTAGTTTTTAGTTGTAATATCGGTAATAATATAACCTTTTATTAAAGCAGAAAGTATGGCGGCCTCGTTAAGAAAGGCTTACAGTATTCAATTATGAATGGAAAAGGATGGAATCTAAACATTTTGAGTAATTACATAAGAATCAAAGTAAAACACTTATATTAATAATGGTTTACTTATAACAATACTTACACTTGTGGGAACACTTACAAGTGAAACAAGCGACTGTAACTTTGGATCAAATAATTACAATAATAGATTATTCTTTGTTTCTTTTCAGAACATCTGTAATACCTCACATTATGATTATAATAAGAGTAATAAGTTGTGGTTATCACAAAATTATAAATGAATGTTTCAAAGAAACTAAAAGGGTTATGAATGTGATTTTGACATTGAACTTGAAATGGTGTAAAATGTGTAACTGCAATGAAAGATCACAGATGTGTTGGAGGTAGATAGTTCCCCTTTTACCTCTAACCTTTCACCTACTAACAGGAGAGCAGAGATGATCAACGCCTTATTTGGACATAGATGGTTGAACAACTTAAACATTTCAAGGAAAAGCCAAGAGAGGAACATTGAGCAACCCTGAGACATTAGTACAGACATGAGGACATAATGTCTCAAAGACAGTGATGGATATGAGTTTATCTGTCCAAACAAGTTACCCAATAAAACAAGCACAGCAACAGTGTTAGCCAATGCAAATGCACCAAAGCGGGTATAAACCCTATATAAGGTGAGAGCAAAAGAGGAATCTTTGGTTGGATCCTCCAGGCAGCTTCGAGCCAAGACCGAGATGGACAAAGAACTCTGCAGCTGAAGAAGAGCCAGAGACACAGAGCCGAAGACTGTCCTGCGCATGGGGACCAACCCATCAGCCCCGCAACATGTGGCTTCAAATCGCACTTCTCTCATTGGCTGGGTTCAGACCCCAAAGACTCCAAAGACAAAGATGAAGACCCCAAAGGAAAGATGAAGACCAAGGAAAAGATAAAGACCCAAGTCCTGTGTGACCTCACCATCGATGCAGAGATGACAGCTCATCAGACCAACAGAGATCCCTGCCTTCATCAATCAACCTCCTTCTGCTGCAACACCTTCTTCATCATCGAGCCAGTTGGAAACACCATACTTCATCCGTCTCTCTCAAAGGTTCCCGTTTTAGTTCTTAGTATCAGCGTTAGGAAAGACAGGCTAGATGATTGATTGTACTTATTTGATTATTTCTGCTACTGAATTAAGCTATACTGACCCTTGCAAAATTGCTTTACTAATAAAATATTTAGCATAAAGAAAATCTAAAAGATGTGGACATTCAATTAATGAGTCACCTCAAAGTTCTTTGATGGTAGAAAAATAGCTGTGATGTTGATTCTGGGGAAAAAAACTAGGTAATGTTTTATAGGTTGCTTTAGCCCAAATTTAAAACAACATCCTTGGGACTCGCCAGAGTCACTAAAACCAACCTGATTCAGTAACAAGTGCAAGTTGTAATCAAGAGAAGGAGCGACCGTTAACAGATGTGCTCTGTGAAACTAGTTGGCTGCAGGCTGCTGAGTCTGGCTAATTCACAGGGGGGAAGAAGGGTGAGACATCTGGATGTAGGCCGTAGAAATCAGGCGAATCCTTTCTAGAAACCAGCTTAAACAGAGTTTACTTCAGTTCTGGATAGGGTAAATCCCTGCAGATTTAGGAAACTCAATTTACCCGTTAGATGGAGAGATGGTAGCACATCTCCCCTCTCAGAAGAGGAAGTAGTGACTGAGAGAGGAGAGAGTGAAGGAAGGTACCAATTGGTCCACGGACTGGTACCGGTCCATGGCCTTTGGGATGACTGCCCTCGAAGGCTCAGTATGATGTTATTCAGACCCTTTTCTTTTTTAAATTACAGCCAACAGCGACACAGTGTGGCATTATGTAAAATTACACTGATCAATCGCAATATAATGAACATCTACTCAGATAAAGTGAGCCTTCCTGTGTAGGTTCCAGTATAGAGTGGGCTTTATGACGTCATCAACCCGTTGGTGAAAAAATAGCGACCTTCATGGGTGAAAAACAAAAGATGTACATTTTTGAAGTAATTATGAGTTTTGGTGTATCACAAACATCAATGTTTTAGTTTATCGGAAAATTACAACATATTTATGCCAACATGTTCAACTAATCCCAGATCACTTTAATGCTGTCAAACCTCCAAGAGTTAATTAGAGTAACAGTACTTTACCACTTTGTACCGATTTTCATAAACTAAATGCTGCTACAGTCCCTGACTCATCCTCTCTCACATGAAAGACTGTATTGATATTTTTTTGAAAAAAGGGTAAATCCCAGGTTGTTCGTCTTGCTCAATAGACATGTGGACAAGAACTCAGAAATGGAACCAACAGCCTTCTTATTGACAGATGGTTGCTTTACTGACAGGCATCAAGTCATCCATAAATTGGTGCTATATAACACTCAGTTTGAAACAGGCCAGGGCAAAAAACTGACAAAGCTGCTGAACAGCAATATCTAACCTATGCTTTGACAAATGCAAATATAAAATGTACATTCTGAAAAGTCATTCATTTACAACAATGTGGTCTTTTCAGTTATCAGATATTAATGCACTCAAAAAAGATAAAGACAAAAAGGGACTTTGTGTGAGTGCTCAGCATTTTCCTTTAACTGATGATTCTACTAGGACACCAGTGGACACACAGTCCTGTCCACAACAACGGGTTACGTGTGGACAGCAGCAGAACCCCTGCAGAATCTCCCAGTTCCAGTACCAGTTGTTTCACTCTGGGCTGGTTGTGGTAGTCACCATCCTCGTCTGCTCTGGTCATGTTTAATACAGGCTCCAGGCCTGCAGATGGCGATGGTGGGGGGGAAGTGATGACATGTTAAGGTCGCCAGGGCCCAGCTGCTTTCCACACGCACACATTCAGTCCAACTTTTCCTTCTGAACCAGCTTGGGAGCGTCCACAAAGTCCCGTCCATTGAACAGGATCAGGCCACCTGTCAGAACGCTGGCTGTTCCCCAGAACAAAACGTAGGCCAAAGTTTCAGTCCATGTGTCACCTGAAACACACAACAAGTCAGTAAGTTCTTCACCTACCGTACACTTACTGAAGACTCTACACATCAATGGGATACACCTTTAAAAAGCCATTAAAACTCATGATTTGGTTTTGAAGACCTTCATTTTTCAAATACTTGATCAGATCATGGACCCTGCCTGCAACTGACCGTGCTTTCATTTATATAGCTCAGTTCAAAGTGCTGAGTGGACCCCTGGCCTACACTTCCACACTAGTCTGGCTGATGTCAGAACTTCCAAATCAATTACTGCTAATGTTAGTTCACCAAAATGTTTCTCACCAGCCATTAACAGACAGATGATGCACATAGAGAAAGCTACAACCATGATGATAGGCAGCTGGAAAAGAGAAACAGACAAGAATCCCAATTAGTACAACAACACAACTCTTTGTTTGTATTCTTGATGTTTTCTTACAGTTAAAAACTTCCAGTCTTTAGGGTCTTGCAGTGGAGTGATCCAGTCTGCTTCGTCCACAGCATAGTTCCCCAGGAACAAGTCAATGGAGTCCTGATTTAAAACACAAACAGAGGAACTCTGGGCGTCTACCCGGAGATGATTTAGGATGTCAAAGTCAGCCTGACTTTACATGACAAACTGTGGCCAGAAAAGTATACTAGGATTTTATTCTATCCATCTTTTATATATTTTCAAATGAGAGAAAATACTAAAAGTTGGTGTAACCATGGTACAAGCAGAAATGTAACAAACTAAAGGGAAAAAAGAAACAAGGAGAACAATAATTGTAAAATAAATCATAATTGTCTATGATTTATTTTATGATTATTTTATTGTCATAAAATAAATATTTTAATGCCCCTTCAACATAGCTGACAGGGTATTATTATCATTTCCAGTTGAATGGAAGTTGGATGTCAACAAGTTGACGACTGGGAAGAGACCAGCAGGATCTGCCACAAGGCATTAAGGCTCAAGTTCGCCTCTCTGTTGGGATCATTCCAAACATTTTTTGAATTACTGCAGGAGGCTGTTGAGAATATTCAGTTTTGCAGAATACATTTCAGACTTAATAATAATAGTTTATTAATCAGCTAAAGTTTCTTAACCTTTATGCCTTTATCTGGAGAAAACATCTCTTTACTCATTTCCAGAGAAGGAATTCTCAAAAACAATGAATACATTTTCCAGTGTTTATTTCACATTTGGCCCAAGATGGTGCTCCAAATGTATGCTTTACAAGGCTTATTCTACCTATACATGAGATTGACAGATTCATCCATCTTTTGTGTATGGTTTCATTTGACCTAACTTTGGTCAGGTTATGGCTCAGCAAGTACCCAGCATTAGGCTTTTTGTCAAACCCAAATATGCAAATTGTGAGTCACACCAGCCAAAAAAGAGACGAGACAGGTGGACAGCAAAAGGGGTTTCATCATCAAAGTCCTAATCATGTTAAATTGCAATCATTTAGATTATTGTACAATTCACACATCTGCAACACAGCAGTGTCTCCAGTTCAGTCAATGCTTTGATGAGGCTTTAACACACAAATCCTAATATTGCCATCAAGCAGAGGACTGACTAAACTCACCTGCCTGTAGCCGTCTGAAAAGTTGTTCTTGTAATATCTGATTGCAGAGTTCCAGCCATCCATCACAGCACCCCACACAGTCCTCTTGCCCATCCTGAGACACACAGAACACCACGAGAGCAACAACAAACTGAAACATTTTTATCAAACAGTATCAACATCAAATAAATCCTATGAAGTTATTTACAGATATTCTTTGAGTCATAAGAGTGGTGACATCTGAGTGCAGCTGTTGATGATTGTCCACTGTCGCTGGACAGCAGACAGAACGCTGCAAGTCACTGACTGGAATTTTTTAAAACTACGCTACTTTGAATAATAAACTGAGCATACTATAGTGCTTGATAACTGGGATAAACTGGAATGTATGTGTGATTAAATTAAAGTTATTTTTTTGAAGAGATACTTGTTGTGAAATGGTGCTGAATGAACTGAATTGAACATGAATATGAATAGGCAAAGACAAAATGACCCTAGGTCAAAAGTTCACATAAAGGTGGTGTAGTTAGTTTAGCCATTCAAGCTCACCTAGTTTCTCTACCTGAATAATGAAGACAGATCAGCTGGCTGTTAGATGGTGAAAACACTGACCTGGTGAAGTCTGTTTTTAAGGCACCAGTTCCAGCATACTGCTTGGCACATGCATCAGCATTGTCTGCCCACGCTGCAAAGAAATAAAATTAATTAAGACAGGAACATAAAGTGATAAGCACTAATGTTATTAAGGCCTTCATTTTAACTGAAGTTTTATGAGATGTCAAATTTAAAGTCTAGACAAGACTACAGAGGCCAGGGGATCTCTAACCAACTCCAGCTTGGGGTGAATGAACTGAAGGGTGTGGATTCATTAATTGTGGAACTCTGGGATTGATTTGTTTTTTCCTCTTTTGCACATTTTACATGGCCATTTGGATGTTTCCCCTTATGTAAATATGTATATAATTTTTCTCACTATATATATGCAAGGCACTTGCAACTGCAAACTTCTAGGGTTAGGGTTATGGCTAACTTCTGCTCCTTCATCTGTCTTCTAAGAAAACTATCCCATTGACCTTATTGGTCACAATCCATTTACATTGATTTAAAATATAAAATACTGTTATCTTTACACAGAACTGCTTGAAAGCTACCAGTTTGTTCAACTGGAAGAGGTGGTCACTGTGTAACAGGCTGCCAAACACACTGAGGGGCCCCTCAGAATCCTGTAAACTACATTCCTTGGATGTTTGGAACTGTTCCAGCAACACAAAAGGCTTCAAATCACTGTCACGATTAAGAGATAATGTTATAATAATGCTTGAATGGAACTGGGGGTGTAGAGAACTTATAGTGGGGGTGTAGTGGGGAAATGCTCACCATTCTTATAAATCTTCTCAAAATCAGCCTGGTCTTCGATCTTCTGTCCCAGGTGGAGAAGTCCCATTTTCTGCAAAGATGCACCCATAAATACCAACAGCTGTCAGAATCAAGAACACACACTAAAATCAAGAACCAAGAATCAAGAACACACACTAAAAGAGGGGTGCCCAAAGTGTGTCCTTGAGGGCTAGCGTCCTGCATGTTTTAGTTCTCTACCTGGTTTAACACACCTGGATCACATGATGGCTCCTTATAAGGTGTAAGGAGAACACTGACGTCCTGAAGAGGTTATTGGAGAAACCTAATACATGCAGGACGCCGGCCCCCGAGGACTGACTTTGGGACCACTGGTCTAAAAGTTTAAATTTATGTTTCAAACATTTCTTGTGTTTCCATGATTCAACTTTCTGTGAAACAAACTGTTCCTTTATTCAGTCTTTGCAGTTCTTAGGCCAATAATGATGACTCATTGTTTTACCTACTGCTGATGAAATACTCATGCAGCAGACAGGAGGCTTTCCCCTCTCCCTCCTCAAAACCCCATTTGAATTAGTTTGCATCTTATGGTTGAGTTTTGTTAGGTTTGTTTGCATTTGCTTATTTTTGGTTAGCTATGGGTTAAATTAATCTATTTTGGTTTCTCATTTCAGGTATTCCTTCATCAGGTTTTATTTCTTTAGTATAATTTATTCAATTCAATTTTCATTTAATCAGACAATCCTTGTGTGTTCTCCTTTAATGTTACCTCACAAACATCGGTCAACATTTTTTTCTATTCAGGACATTTAAAGTTGAATATTGCTTTATGCCTGTGACAGCACAATTATTTTCACTTCAATATTACAAGCATGTTTGAGGGAGTCAAACTCCCACCAGAGAGCATACAGAAAGAGTTGCAAAATTCTACAAATCAGACAAAAATATCAGCATGACGCTCAGGAGGAGTGCAACGTTGTGGACAAGAAGCCGGGAAACGGGAGTGCCAGCTTGCTGAGCTGCAAGCATCACCACGAGTAACCATCATTTCTGTCAAAAGAAAGTAGGGGTGCACCGATTGCAGTTTTCTGACTGATCACTCATATCTAAAAAGCTTGACTGATTTTGGCCTATGACAATTTCTTTCTGTACCAAATATGACAAAAAAGTTGGCAACAGAAGGATGCACATTGTCAAATGCAGCCCTCTGTCAGACTCTTGTGGTGATAGAAAAGATCAGTGGATAAAATTGGTTTCACATGTAAGTATTGACCAATCAATGATCACCCAAAATTAAAGAAATTGGGACGGATCGATCTATGCACCCCTAAAAATAACCCCGTCACGCCTCCCCAAGACCAAGTCCATATTGGAAACACTGTAATATATAGTCACTGTGGATGGATGCTCCACTTATTTATATCTTTAGTGGCTAACGGTAAATGTCAAGGGGACGACTGGAACAATGTTTTTTGGCAAAGAAAGAGACGTGTTTGAAAAAAGGAGATAAATGGTCATCACAATTTTCTGCAACAGAATCAGAATGAAACTATTTCCTGACATCCAAAATGAAGTCTCTCTCCTTAGAGAGTAAGAATGTTTGTGGCACTGCAGACCAGAAGTGGTTAAAACAACTTTTTTTAAGACTACAAGTTCTAGAATATTTTAACTGCAAAACATTCATTTCCTTTATTTCTGTGTTGACATAGAGCATGTGAGGAGGTACCTGCAGTTGTGACTGTAGGGCGCGTCGGGCTAGCAGACTCTGGATGACATTGGTACGGTCCAGACAGTCCATGCAGTTGCTCCGAAATGTACCTTCTTGGTTCATCAGTACCTTCCCTTCAGTGTCCACAAGAAAATATCTGAAACCATATGTAGAGAACACCACTGATGAATAGCAATCCTTTAACTACTTAATGGATAAGCCTAAAGCCAAAAAGACACTCACCCAAATTCATCCTGTATTTCAGAAACACTGTCCAGTAAGATCTGAAGCCGATGCCACCTCATCCGACTACATTCTTTGTGAAAGTCAAATGCTATGTACCTGCAGAGAAACAATCTGTTAGCCAAAAACTCCAACATAATTTTTAAAGAAGCACAAAGACCAACACATCATAAATGTACAGGCAGAGCTGAGTCATGTGAAGACGAAGGGGTAACCTTGGAAGTGATCTTACTTGATCATACTGTTACCCGAGCTGGTTACCATCTTGTCAAATGCTAGCTCCAAAGGCTTTTCAGAACCTTTTTGGTTGATCTGTGGAAGAACAGTCAAATTTGTGACAAAAACAGCCCGTTCCTAATTCAGTCAATATGTGCCTTGTCTCAGTAGAATCACCCCTAACATGGTGGAGAAGTTTGAGTATCCCAGGAGGAGTCTCCCATCCCACATTAGCCTCAAAGGAGGGGTCAGATAAGACTGATTCAAACATTATGATAGAAGTTAGACAGCAAAAACTTCAAGGAGGTTTGAGAGCAATGTGGTGCGGTGGGGGTTCACTGTATACTTGGTTTCTTGGGCTGAGTCCATTTGACTATGACAAACTGGGAGGAGGATTGCCTAGTTCAGGTGCTTGGGGACTCAAGTGGCAAGTGAGGATGGAGATACAGCTATCTAACACATTCTGGCTCTATGGACATGGAATGCTACCTCACTAGCCACTGGCAGCAGGGAGTTATAGTTAAACTTACCTCCACACAGAACCTGGCACTGGAACCTTGCTCCTGGAGAGGGGCTGTTTTGAGAAAGCGGCATTGGGCAGGAGGGGGAATACTCACAAGGCCCTGGCTGAGAATCTTTGTTTGAAAATTTGCTCCAGCAAGTGAGTCAACTTGCTGCTTAAAGCCATAACTGTGCTTATGCACTGAACAAGCAACTCATAGTAACTGGCATTGTTCTGGAAAAGAATACCATAGGGATACCCTTGTGGTTCTGTAGGACTTCATGTTTACTCAATCAATTAATTAAACGTTACTTTTTATAGTTCCTTTCAGCAACAAGGCATTTCAAAGTGCTATACAAGGGAGAAGCTCACTCGGAGAGACCTGGATAAGAGTCAGTGTCAGTCTACAGCGTGGTGAAAATCAGAGTGGACACACCGCTCCTCTACAACTAAAAGAGCTTGGTAAGGTGATTTGGGAATGGGATCAGGACTGTTCCTGGGAGGCTTTTCAAGCACAACCATATGGGAGGAGACCCCAGGGCAGACCTCCAACTCACTGGAGGATGTTTGGTTGGAGAATGAACAAAGTAAGGAATTATAGATTACAATTTATTTACCCCAGTGAAATCACTATCCAGCTGTCTGCAAACTTCACAATTTATAGTACATAATTATAACTTATAGTAAAACCATGTTTGCTCACCAAGTTCAAAATGACTTGTTTTCCATACAGAACAACCTGGGAGTCAAAGTGCCTCTGGAATCCATCTAACTACAACAAAAATCAAAGAGGAAAAGTACATAAGACATGAAAAGTAAAAAGAAAAAGTACAATGTCACGTCATGATTTATGTAAAATAAGAGTGAAAACTGACATGGTTAACCACTTTGCTGATCTGTGGCTTTGGCTTGTACTTCAGATTGGGCCTTTGAGACCAATAGAAAGGGATGGAGCCTCTGGTCTAGGAAAACGAAACATATTGCATAAGGACAAAATTAATATGCCTACACACATTCACTCTTCCATCAGAACAAATGAACATGGTTTAAAGTGGAATGAGCTTGTACTGGTTTTGCAAACCATTTTTAAATGTGATAGCAAAGATGCACTTAAAAGGTTTGTGTGTCTGAATGAATATGGAAAATGCAGACTGAACAGTAATGTAAAAACCTATGACCAAGAAACAGAAAACAAGGGCAAACACTAGCAGCCAATCAATTTACTTTGCTCAATCACTAACAGACTTAATATCTCAATAAGAAAAAGCAGAAAATCAGCACTGTGAAGATCCAAATATTACAGCTGTCCCTTTGCAAAGCCCTGACAAAAAACTAACAACACTAAAACACATGAGTGAATGGTTGACTTTCCCACTGCTGGATGACTTGGAATCTCAGCTGTTTGACTCACCTGCACAAATGAAGCCTTGTAATTGTTGTAATGCACAATTTGCTCAGTTTCCACAAAGTTAGCAGCATGGCCTTCTGAATCAATGCCTGTGTTAAATTAACAACAACCAAAAAGACATTTATCTTGAGAATAATGTCTGCAAAAAGCTGATATGCTGTGGTAAGAACCATGCAAATGAGATAACTACCATTACATGCTAGAAAAACAGAAAAATGATTAAGAGCACACAGAGCAACAGGAGATGTGAGCCGAGTTAAAGACAGCTTGCAGCAGTTACCTCGGACATAGTAGCGGACGCCGGCTCTGAAACAGCTTCTTCTGGAGATAATAATCCACTCAAACACCTTTCCATTGATGGAGCTCGAGTTAATGGTAATGACTGGGAGGGAGACATGTTAAGAAACCAACAATACTTGTACATGGAAACAGAAGGACTCAATGTGACACATCAAAACAATCAAGAAACAATACAGAAACATACCTCAGATGGGATTCAAGTAGAGATTTGCTTTTTGTTGGGTTCATTATAAAATAAGATAGATTGCAGTTAATGCTTTGCTGTTTGTATTTAACATTTTGATAAGCACTTTAGAGTGCTAGCATGAAGCAACAGTCACACATGCTTCAACTTGCCTGTGGTTTTGCTGCTGGTCATCCTGAATTTCCCCAGTGACATTAAAGGTTGTTTGTATTCAGGCACCAATTAATGATACTCACTTCTAAGGTTCATTTTCAAATGAAACCAGAATATTCCGAGTAAGTATTTTAAATTACTTTTAGTATGCCAATATGTCTACTGTTATTTTCCACTTCGGTTGAAATCATTTAATGCTTAAAATATTTATGTTTTGTAAATCGTTGCTTTGAAAGATCAAATGTATTAATGATAAAGTACATCTTAAATGTGTGGCTCAAACAAACATAATAAAAGGTACTCTTGTTCATCTTCCAAAATCAGACATCAGTTTATTTGTTCCCGATCTGTGTCAACATTCTGCTTTACCACCTGAATGGAGTGATTCTATCAATGTTGGCCTGGTGATTGATTGGTAATGATCCAGTCTAATGCAGAAAAAGACTGCATTAGACTGGATCATGTTGTGATCAATTTATACACTGAAAAAAGACTGAAGGACTTGAGACTCCCTCTCTGAAGCAGTGTAGTAGAGGAACATGTATTATTGAAGTTTATGATTTCATCATCTCACTTTCTGACCTTAAAAGTTTGATTTAAAAATATAAACCAACGCTGACAGCCACAGAAAAGGATACAACCATGGACAACAGGATACACAAACCTGTGCAACTGTAAAACAGGTGAGGAAACATTACCATGTAAACAATTCAAACACACAGACTTTAGCTGGTTCAGCAGCCCAACCCAGCAGACAAGACACACAGCTCCATGCTTACATTTGTTAAGTAGGGGTGCACTGATTATCAGAAATTGGCCAACTCATGTGAAGTCGATCTTATCCACAGATCCTCACTATGTCAGCAAAAGTCTAAAAATCAATCTTTTGCTCTCCTGTGAGAGAGATTTGACTGACAGACCGGACGACAGCTCATGTCTGGATGTTTTCAGTTAATAATACTCACCCCACTGTTACCAACTCTGTGACTTTCTTGCTACATTTAGAAACATTTCAGACAAAAAAAATTGATATTGGCCAAAATTGGAATCAGCAGGCTAGGCTTTTTAAAGATCGGTAATTGGCGATCAGCCAGAAAACTGCAATCGGTGCAGCCCTAGTACATTTGGTTATGACAAATATTTCTTAACCAAATCATCAATTCACCCATTTAGTATATTAATTTCATTTTCATTATCATCCATGTATTGTAATGTGACATCTCTACTACCAGTTAACTTTGAGGAGAACCTTTTATAGATACAAGAAACTACAAACAATTGCCCTTTGAGTTCTTAAAGGTAAAGGTTGAAAATTATCCATCCTGAACAACTTTGGAAGCCTTCCCCTGTCAGGTGAAGGGATTGTTAAGCACATACTCTATATTGCCAAAAGTATTTGCTCACCTGCCTTGACTTACATAAGAGCTTAAGTATCATCCTATTCCTTATCCATAGAGTTCAATAAGATGTTTGTCCACTCTCTGCAGCTTCAACTCTTCTGGGAAGGCTGTACAAAGGGTTTAGGAATGTGTATGGGGATTCTAGACCATTCTTCCAGAAGCGCATTTGTGAGGTTACATGCTGATGTTGGACAAGAAGGCCTGGTTCTCAATCTCCAATCTAATTCATTTTCTTTTGTTGCTCCTAATTTATGGAACAGTTTGCCTTTTCAGATTAGATATGCTTGCAGCCTGGATCATTTTAAATTGTTTCTCAAAACTCATTTTTATTCATTGGCTTTTAACTGAAACAATTTTTTGATATTCTGTTTTTATCTATTTGTGTTACTGTCGTTCCTGTGCAGCACTTTGGTGCAGTTTTATACCTGTTTTAAAGTGCTATATAAATAAATTTGACATTGACATTGACAAAGGTGTTCTATTGGGTTGAGGATAGGACTGTGTGCAGGCCAGACTCTGCTATCCATGTCTTTCTGGACCTTGCTTCCAACATGACTGTGTGCTCTGGTACACTGTCATGTTGGAAGGGGAAGGGTCCAGCTCCAAACTGTTCTCAAAGTTGGGAGCATGGGATTGTCTAAAATGTCTTGGTATGCTGAAGCATTCAGAGTTCCTTTCACTGGAACTATGGGACCAAACCCAACTCCTGGAAAACAACCATAATCCCCCCTCCACCAAACTTTTCACTTGGCACAATGCAGTCAGACAAGTACTGTTCTGGCAACTGTCAAACCCAGACTCATCCATCAAATTGCATAATTTGTCACTCCAGAGAACACGTCTCCACTGCTCTAGAGTCCAGTGGTAGCGTACTTTACAGCACAGCATCTGACACTTTGCATTGCATTAGGTGACGTATGGCTTGGATGCAGCTGATTGACCCATTCCCTAAAGCTCTCTGTGCACTGATCAAGAGCTAATCTGACAGCCACATGAAGTTTGGAGGTCTGTAAGTGATTGACTGTACAAAGTTGGGCATCTCTTCGCTCTATGTCCTTCATCATCCGCTGATCCTAATGCGTCATTTACATGGCCTACCAGTACAACTTTTTATAATACAGCTGACAGTTGACTGTGGAATATTTAGGAGTGAGGAAATTTCATGTTATTTCAGCATGTCTGAAATAAGCAAAAAGCTATTAAACAGGTCACTTATGTATCTTACCTCTGGCTGTGTCATAAACTCCCGCAGCAAGTGCCCATTCCAAACAAAGCGCTGATCTGCCTGGAACAAGCAGAGTTGACATGTAAGTGAAGATACAAGAATCTCACTGACAGCCGATATGACATTAAAAATTTATGCACTGCAGATTTGCAAAAAAATAAATAAATAAAAAATAAAATCAAGACAAGCACAGGTGACAAAAAATGTCATAACAAGAGAAAGCAATAAGTCTTTAAAGAATTTTTTCCATATTTTCAAAGCACTATTATTGTTGTGAGCAATGTTAACTTTAATGATTCAAGACGATCTGTGCAGTCAAGCACAAGAGTTGGTTTCTTGTTCCAGATATGAACTCAAGCTCCACCCTGTCAGGCCTTAGCCTGCCCTTTGAGTTCACATCTTACTACACCAATCTGGAAGAAATTTAGAAAAAACTAACAATGAAATGAACATCAGTGTATGAATATGGTGCAAGTACTTTGGAGTACACAGACTTGATGAAGAGCTCTACAAGTACAGGCCAGTTATCATTCATCAGAATTTTCTTTGTAAACCAAGTTCTGTCTGACATCAAGTCAGACTTAGCCTATCCACTCTAAGGTCAGCTAGGATTTCCTAGTTTAGGTTTATATTCTAAATGCCAGCGAAATACAATGCTAGTTGTATTTTTCTGTCACTATTCACAGTAAAATAGGACATGGGATAAAATTTAAAACTCAGAGAGGAAGAAGCCATTGTTCCTAAAGTGATATAAAATATAAATTCCAGGTTACAGTTTCCAAATGAAATCTGAGACTGAGCTCTTGTTTTTCTGCAGATATGTTCTACAGTCTGGTCAAATTAAAAAATGTCAGTGTTTGGCCATAATAAACATTGTCATGTTTGATAAATTGAGAACACCATCAAAATGTTAAAATTCTGATCCAACTTGTCGACATTGTTTGTGTCCCAAAGACTGGGCGTAAATTCTAGCATGAACAGCTGATAGAAGGAAAAAATGGAATGGGGAGTTTTCCTCAACAGTTGCTAAGATTATCTCTTCACATTGTGTTGGATGTGCCGTTCGTACTGAAAATTTTAGAAAACATACCCACTAGGATGATTTTAGTGCAACTGACATGCTAACTGAAAAGTTACAAGTCATGTGCGATGTGAGCATAGCATCTGAATGTGGGCAGGTGGTGGGGGGATTTATCTGAAAAAGAATCTATTAGTTACAAGTGTTTCTGAAACATTTTTGTTTGAAATGCCCTGCGTGGTATCGTGTTTGAGAGAAGTGTTACAAAGGCAGTCTGGTGTCTCTTACCCTCTCCAAAAGACTCATGTCTTGAAAATCTGGGCTTGTGTTTGCCAGACGCTGCAAGCTGTGGGTCAGGTCATAGTCTGATGCAAAGTAGAGGCCATCTGTATGAAGCACACTGCTGATCATGGATACAAAGGTTTTGTTGTCTTGCATCTGCAATAGAAAATTCATAGATATAAAGGTCTGCTTCTTTCCAGGTTCTATTTCATTGTTCTGATCACTAAATATTTAGAACTTTCTAGAGTTGTGCTGCTTATGGTGGCAGCTCTGTTACGTTAGCTCTGATTTGTTCCTTTTGTTCACATTTTTTTTTTTGGATGAGAAGTTGCATGTTGGACAATGTTCTCTCTGACTTTGGATGCTGTGCAGCTCTTTTTTACTCTCAGTTGTTATGATATATAGCCATGGTGACGATGTACTGTTTCTACAACTGAGAGTAGCTGATTAGCAGATGAAAAACTAACACCAGATCACAAGTGAGAGACTGAGAAGTGAAAGCCTTTCACCTGCCCATATCCCCGAGAATGATGTGCAGTTCTAGATTGGAGTTCAGTGAATATTCTATCAGATGTTGGTCACACTTCATTTGAAGAAGTTTGCAAAAGGCTGACATGACATTGTCATAAACATGACATTGTCATAAACAAGACATTGTCATAAACATGATATTGTCATAAACATGACATAACACCTGTAGTGAACATGAAGGAGTCTTCACATATATTTGTCTCTTGTCATAAAATATCATTTGGTAAATATTTTTAATGCAAAGTTGCATTGAAAGTCCACTAAAAGTGTCAACCTTGCAGTGTCTTTTTTTTTAAACCAAATGACACTTCATGACACCAGTCAAACATTCACGAAGACTCCTTCGTGTACAGGACATGGTGTTATAACAAGCATCGTGTCAGCCTTATGCACACCCTTCAAAGAAAGTGTTGCCAGATGTTTTATTTGTTGATACTGATCACATGTATATCATAATGTGTATTGTAATTCACTTAAGTGTCCAGTCTTACTTAAAAGGTTAATATAATCCTAAGGAAAGACGCAATGCCAACCCAGTAAGGTACCTACTTGATTTTCTACACCAGCTAAAGTTTAACTGATACGTTTATTTAAATCTTAAAACACATCTTAAAATACTTAATTCCATATTTTAAGGTGTGAAGCTGGTAGACAAATTTGAAAGAACAATAAAAATGTCGACTCAATTTTACTCTACAGACAGCGGAGCAGCTATTTGTGGAGTAAGTAATTCATCAAGTGAAAATATATTACTTACTCTAGTTTGCTGCCATCTAGAGGAATTATTGTGAATAAGAACAAAAACAGAAGCCTTACAACCTTCCCAAGCCTGACTCCTATTTATTTAGACGCTGTTAACCTCACTTGAAAACCCACCACAGATTTTCAAAATCCTTTTTTCCAAGTCAAATCTAAGTTCTCTAATGACAAAAATAAGCATCTAACCCAAAAACATCTAGTGCAACCTCTCACTCAGACCTGCTGAATGTTTGAACATTTGATAATCATCTTTATTTGTTTATTTTATTCACAGTTTCAAAAACCGCAAAAGGCTACATGACTATTAATGAAAATGTGAAGATACCTTTCAACATGTATAAATGTCACTAAAATAGGACTTCATATCCTTCTTCTGAAGCAAGTCGGCTTGTCACACAGAACTGCTGTCTCTTTCTTGATCTCTATCTAGCAGTTTGGACATAATGACTGGTTTGGGATGTTGCTTCTGCTTGTTGACCTTCTGCTATAATGGGACATGAGGAGTGCAAGTGCTGGTAAAAGAACCAACCTGGTCATCATTCAAGTGTAATACTGTCTTTTTGTAAGAAATGATGTCAAAGTTCAGAGCTTTCCACACAGCATGGCCCAGTAAGTCTCCCACCTTCATCTTCTTTGTGATCACTATGAGGTACATGCCTAGATTTATGAAGAAAGCAGATCATGAAGGGGATGAAAGCCACACCAATGAGAGTTCAGACAGTTTGACATACTCCAGAATTACAATCTGACCATGTTGAACATACCTGCTGGCAATCGAATAGTTCCCATGACTCCACCTATTGGCATGCTTTCAGCTGACATAGGAACATCGCTCCTCACTGAGGTCCAAAAATGAGACAATGGTTAGTGGCCATGTGTTCTAAAGTAAATAATTTCTATATCACTATGAATTAACAGTGATATCGAAAGGAATCAACTGGACTGACGAGCAATCTTAAACTCTGCTTCAGTTGTTTTTCTAGAGGTTTTTCAATCCAAACCTCTGGTTTGAAATGCCATTTAATGACATTTCAGACAAAAAAATTATTGTCAGCCAAAATCTGAGTCAGCAGGTCAGGATTTTTAAAAATTGGTAATCAGAGATTGGCCAGGAAACTGCAATCGCTGCACCACTAAAATATGTATCAATATTCTTAGCATGGCTGATCATTACAAAGAAATCATAGGATTCCAATGTTGTTGAATATTGTAATGACAACGTCAGTCATGATGAATTCATATTCTTCTCACTGTCATTGCAGTGCTGTTCAAATGACCCTTGACATTTTGCATTTTTGGCCTTCCCACCATCTCTGCTGCATTTAAGAGCTTCAAGGTGTTACTGCCAAACAAAATGAATTAACAACTCCCCAAGTCTAATAGCCAAAAAATTGGTTTCCTCCCGGGCAGTTCATTGTGATATTTTTGATGTATGCAAGGACAAATAAATAAATAAAAATCACGACTTTATCACATCATCCAGTATTACTTCATTTACAAGTTGATTAAATTATCAAGTACTTCACATGTAAATATAAATTTTACAATGTTGGATAACTTTTCCAATAATGGATTTGTTTCTAAAATTAGTAAGAAGACTGACTAAAACTTTTCAAAACCAGCATATTTACTGCATTTTAACTTTGATGCTTTTTGTGCCAAGCAAGTGAAACAGTTATGATTGGAAAGATCTTTTGCTGCACTGCTACCCAATTCTTTTTACACAGCTAAAAACAACAGCATGTATAGATTTGTAATGATAGCTTTTATTTTGTTTTCTGTTTCTTACAAAATCAGTCACACTTTTTCCCCATGTGCATGTCTTCCATGTCCTCTCCATCCCTATCAGGGCAGACAGACCTGGAGTCTTGCTCTGAAGGACATTTCTTGTTTTTTAAAACACGTGTTCTCACCACTGGTGTTTGAATGCAATTTTAGAAATACATTTAAATCCATCCATTTTTTAACATCCCTGTCCCTACTGGGGTCAGGAGGTGCCGATGCCTATCTCCACTAACGTTCTGGGCGAGAGGCAGGGTCACTGGGGTCACCCTGGAAAGGTCGCCAGGCTGTCGCAGATACATTTAAATATTATGTTGAATTATAATAATGCTTAACAGGAGGGTGATTGCTTACCAGTGAGTGACATCTCAGTTGATACTCTATCAATGACCAGGACATCCACGGAGTCATCATCACTTTGCTCTATGTAGAACTTTTCCGCTGTGGTGTGCCTGGGACAGAGAACAGATCACATCATCATATGACAGCCGCACTGGGCTCATCAAAACCCACAGCTGGTGCTGTGGACCACAGATCTGAGCAAACTGGAAGCTGAACTAGAAGTGCCGGTAGAAAGCTGAAAGATAACCGACAGCTAGCTGCTGCTGGGACGAGCAGCGTTAGACTGTCAACAACACCCCGCTGCGACCTGCCAGAACCTTCATCAGTTGCGTTAATGTTCTGCAGACTCGCTGGTACTGCTGACTGGAAACAGTCAGATTCTTCTCTAGAAAGGAAAACTTTCTATGGTGTAAGATGTTGAGTTAGCTTTGGAAGGTACGCACATCGAGTTTACATTTAAAGTGAAAGTGAAGCGTTTACTGTTTGTGTGGTTCACACAAAGTTTCCCATGGGTCTAAAATTGAAATAGACAGAAAATAAAGCCACTACTTATACTTACAGGCGAAAACTACCCGCAGTGCTCGCCATCTTCTCTTGAATTTAACCTCAGTGACGTGTCGCTGTCTTCTTCCTTTTCTTTCCAGGCGGTCGGCAAGCAATATGTATCTACATATTGCATTACCGCCATCTACTGGAATGGAGTGTTGATGTTAATGCTAAATCTAGATTACACAAATTAAAAAAAAAATTCTCTTCATCCTCTTTACCAATTTCGCTTTGTTGAAGCATTTTTAGATAAAAAAAAAAAGGACAAAAAGATTCAGAAGTGGAACGTTTGTCCAAAATATCTCATTGAATATTTTATTCAATAAGATATTGAATAATTCTCTCCTTATTGAGGAGAGAATTAGTACATTGTAATATATGTATTAATTCGCTCTTCTCAATAGAATATTTGTAACAAACAATAAAACCTGTTTCACCATCTCTTCTTGAAAACAAAAATCACATTTTCTGTTGGATGTTTTCCCATTTTAAATAAAGTACTCTTTAATCTTGAAAGATCAAAATATCATCTGGATATAATTGTTTACTCCGTTCTATTTCTCCTCATTATAACAACTTTCCTTTGAATGCTATAAAGCAAACCTTCCAGGTCTTTTTCCTAGTGTTTCTGCCATTTCCCTTTAACCTTTTAAAGGGAAATGGCAGAAACCATTTCCCTCTAAAAAATTTCTTTCATAATATGTTCTCCTTTAAGATACCAATAATATATATATAAAAAATGTGTTGCTTGGTCTGCATATGTAACTGCTGACTCATTATCTTTTATTCCTATATGTGATTGTACCCATGTAAAATAACTAATAAACCCATTCTCTGAATTCTATAAATTAATAATTGAATCTTTAAAAAAAAGTCTGGTCTGCTATGTGAATTATTATTATTTTTAATGAAAAGAATAACAAACTTGAATCTGAACAAATTACACTTCGTAATGGATCAATTTCCTCAATCCATCGTAGAGATAAAATGATTCCCAGCATCTCTCTTGTATAACTTAGACTCCAACAGTAATTTATTTACCCGTTTTAAAATGTAATTCTGGAATTCAATTTCTGGAATGAATGGCATACTCTAATTGAGTTTTTTTTAAGCCTCTATAAATATGGAATCATCCATAATACGTATTATTTAAATACGGATTGTACTGAATATGGATCTGAAAGGTTTTCTTTTTTCTGATCTCCAACAAAGTAAAATCAATAACACTAGTAGGACATAGAGATGGATATTTAAATTAGATAAATCATCGTTTTTTATAATGTTTTCTACAATCCAGACAAAAGAATTTTATTTCTTTTTTTCCTTTTCCAAACTTGGTTTTAAAATCTCCTGACATGGTTGATTTCTATTGTGACCCTTTAAATGATGCCAGTAAGATGAAATGAACTGTAATCATCTGAAGTGAAGTGGCATCTCTCACCATTTCTACTAGTAAAGCTGATATTGGAGTTGTTCTAATGGCTCCTGTAAATAACTTCAAGGATTGATACTGAATATTATTCAAAGTTTTTGAGTACTGTTGCTAGTGCTGATCTGTGAGGGATCTACCCCCTCACTAACAGGTGCTGTATTTTGTACTTCCTATATCCTAACTAATATAAAGTAAAAATGTATTTTTTGTTGTTTGGGGGAAGTTCGGATCTATTCGATAAATAAATAAATAAAGAAAACCCCATTCTACTCTCCAAATTCTCAAACATATCATTAATCATGATAGAAAAGAACAAAGAACTCACTATACTTCTCTGAGGCATACCATTTTCAACCAAACATTTATTTGAATAATATTATCCTGTTCTTACTTGCATTGATTGATCTTGTAAAAAACATTGATCCACTAATTGATCCACTAATTCCTATCTTTCTAAATTTTCTCATAAAACTTTACTTCCACATCATATTATAAGCCTTTTCTATATCAAAAAGACAGCCGCCAAATTCTCCTTATGAAATTATTGTTTTTCTGATTTTAAGTTCTAAACATACAATAGGATCCATAGTGCTTCTATCTTTTCCAAATCTACTTCAAATTTAATAAATATCCACTCCTCTCAACAAAGTAGAGCTAAATCTTTTATTTATCATTCTCTCCATTATTTTACATATATAGGTATGTGAAGATAAAGCAATGTGTCTGTAGCCTTCTGGATTTGTCTGCTCTTTACCTAGTTTTAGGATTGGAACTGTGAATGCTTCTTTCCATACCACAGGTGAAAAAACAAAAAACTTCCCAGATCTTATTATACCATTCCAGTAAAAATTTTTTAGAGTAACTACTAAGCTTATTAATTATAATATAATAAATATTATATTTCTGGTGGATGATTTTTTAATTTTATTTCTAAGAGCATTATTTAGTTCAAATAAAGAAAAGAGACTATTTTATAAGTGACTTGACCCTATGACACCCTGGAATCTAACTGGCATCTCCAGCCCAGGAGATGGCAGTAATGGACTTACATTCTACTTGGTAAGTGATGAAACAGAAAAAAAAGAAAGAAGAACGAAGAAGAGGGAGTCTCTCTGCGCATGCGCGGTACCTCCACACGTGTTCACTGTATGTGGTGAAAAGCAGATTTGGAGTTGCTGTCGGAAGAGCGTCGCACAAGTTTTCGGGTTGTTGTTTCATCGCTAATCTTCAACTAACATGAGACCAGGTATAGTAACGTCACGTGTGACGGGGTTTAGGTCCCGTTTAATGGAGTTTTTGATGTCTTGTTCTGGGTTCAGAGGTTCAGAAAAGAAATTGGCCTTCCTCTCCGTCGCAGTCTTTTTAAAGAATAGTGGGAATCACTCTAGGTGAAAATAAGATGCTACCAGGTATAGGGTCGCGTTATTAGATACATAATGTATCTAATATCCAATGCATAAAGTTGGATTCATTAGTAAAGTTTCATCGGTAAATTGCAGCGCGTAGTTCGAGCTGGAACCTCGTCGTCTTGCTAAGCACGTGCTGTTGACCCACCGAGGCGCGAGGAGCAGAAAACAGCAGGAAGATCCCGAGAAGCTTCACGGCCTGCTTTGTTCTGGTGGAGATGGACGAGCATTAACACGTGGTTAGCATTAACAGAGACTGTTTCCTCAACGACAAGTACAGATGTTGGAACAAAAAGATTTTACCTAAGAAATAGTTGAGTTAAAATGCATGACTTTTGATTGAAAGTTTAAGTAAACTAAAATGTTTTTAGATTTTGGAACATCGGAATTCTGTACATTGTGACAAGTGCTTACTAAGGGGAATTTTGTCCCAAATAAAATGGATAAAACAAATTACTTCACAGAAACTGAAATGAAGATTGTAAAGGAGAAGGGGAATGTTTGATTGGCAAACCTAACAATGAGGCATTTTTCTCACAGCTTGTTACACTTTCTAAAAGACTTTCTTCCTTCCAGCTATTTATTTATTTTTTTGCTGGAAGTAAAAGAAAAAAACACCAGCTTGTTTAGCCCCTTTGCTGTGATGTACATGTGAGTCAATGGATTAATGAGGACATCTATGTAATAAAGGGGTTGTAACATATTTTGTGACAAATACATTGCTAGTTCAAAAATCTCTTGAAATTAAATGGTTCATAACTGTATTATATTTAAAACCAATGCCTTATTTTAAAAAATCCTACAAAAAAAACTCGTTTTCATAATGTTCATAATTTTCCCCTCTCTGCACCACTCAGGTTTGGTTACCAGTTCTGGAACCCGATCAAAACTTCTCAGTGTCATTACTTTGAGAAATAATTTGATTTGCCGAAAATGATCAAATGTTACAATTCATTGAGAAGAGATAGAGTGATATTCACCATCCAGCGTTGGCTGCTCTTAGCTCACCTTCAGGGTTTCACCAAATGAGCACAGATTGTAGTAAGAGTTCTGCTTTTATCTTATTTTACACCCTCTCTCTAAGGGGTGCTTAAACAGTTTTTGTTATGTGTAACCTAGAAGACTGCTGCCAGTTCTGTATGTTATGGTTATGTAAGCATGCAGCAGTGTGCATGAGAGCAGATAAGACACAGAGGAAAGACACAGAATCATTTTATCCATAACAATAAACATGTGTAGGTCACTGCATGTATTATATTAAAGAACTGTTACGTGAGCAGTAAATTAATCAGTTAGTAACCCAAGGTTTCTCCCCAGTGTATTATAAGCCTAGCGGAGCTGCCAGGCTTTACTTGCCTGCAGACCCCACCAGACTAAGTGTTGGTTGTTTTGTGTTTTTGGCTTGGTTTTGTTTTTTTATTTAAAAAACACCTCAGACTGCATGCCATCTCTGCTGTGCTCAGAATTTCACTGGCAGAGCAGAATCGTTCCTAAAAGATAGGTTTTGTAGTTGAGGCATTGAACAAGGCATGAAGCTGGCAGCGCACACCAATCACACTGCAGGCCTCTACGCCCAGTGTGCCATCATAGCTGCATCTTTCAAGTTTACCTCAGTGCGGTTTGCGCCCCACATCTCACTCAAATTGGAGGATTTGGAAAGTGTTCTTGTAGGATTCATTTGTGTCAGAATTTATTCTAAGCCCCTGTGAGGACTGCTTTTTCTTCTGACAATACTGCATCAAGGTATAAGTCAAGTTTAAAAGTCACAGCGCCTGCTCTGCTTGCGCAAGGTCTATGTGAACCGCAGGTATAATCTATAGTCCTGCTTTCAGATGTTCATGTGCAGTAAGAATGATTTATCTTTGTGAACAAAGAATTATGTGCACCATGTGCGTTTACAACTCACACACTGGCCCAGTGCGTGGCTCTGTCTGCGCTGATCAAGTTTATGTACTGTTCCTCGGTGGAGCGGTGTTGGTGGAGCGGTGTTTCAGCCTCTGGAGGAAGTATCGCACTTGCCTCACGCTGTTTTTTTTGTTCGATTGTTTTGCAGTGCCATAATGCTTCACATTGCGTCATATCAAATGATTTGTCTACTTAATCAGGCAGAGTTGCTGCGTCTCTATCTCATTAGAACTTGTCTTGTTTGTCTTCAAAAAACATTTGGGAAATTTAGACAAAGGCAGAAGACTGAGCCTGTATGGGACTGTGTGAAATGATGGAGTGTTTGTGGGTGTCAGGATAAACTGGCTTCATTCAC